TTCCGTCAAAAGATAGAAAGAGAGAGAGATAGTGATAGAGATTTTCTCATTCATTGATATTTTGTAAAGCGAATTCCAGTGTTTTCTTTTTTCATATGTTGTCTATGGATTTTTTTTTCTCATTGAAAAGAATCTAAAAATGATCAAAGAACACACAAATAATAAACTTATACGTATCTATGTTAATTTGCTTTAGTTTCCATGTCATCGCTCAAGAAACATTCTTTTCCCCTATGTTTCTTTAAAGGAATGTAAGATCGTCAAAAATAAAGTTGATCATTCGTCGTCGTGTCTCGTGAAAAAGAGATCTTTGTCTTTCGTAATATCTACAGAAGGATCTGTAGGGAGCCACTGAGGTAAAAGGTAATACTCGTTTCATCTTGAAATTTTCGAGATTTCTCCTTTACGTTTTGCCAGTGTTGGTGTCATCAACTTTAGACGATTTCAATTTGTACTAGTGTATTACACGCATGACATATACTTCAAAGTACAAACATATAAAATCATTGGAGCGTGTTCCTCTTAAAGGATCATATGAGAAAACGTTTCATCAAATATTTTCGTTCTTATTATTTTCAACAGGATTACTTTTTGTCATATCGACTTTAACAACATTCACTCATCTTATTTTTCAACATATATTTTATAATGATAGTTCAATAAAAGACAAAAATCTATTAATGAAAAAATAGTGAAATTAAAATTGAAATTAGACGTATTAAAAGTCATGGTAAATAACAAAGTGAAAATTAAATAAAACAGGTTCATTAGTTGACATTTTCTTGGAAGTCAATAAAATCTGAAGTTACTTCAAGAAGAAGTTACTTAGCCTTCTTATTCACGCAACATTGTACACGAAGTCTTAACGATGTGTACTGTCTTGAAACATCTAAAACGACAATTTTCTATTTTTCTTTTATCTTTCTTTTTTCTTACACGACTCTTTGAAGTAGAAAGTTTATATGTTCCTATAAAACCAACTTTTGGTACATTTATAACTAACATTATAAAAACTATTCATATTTTCAATAAAACAATGTGGGAACAGTAATGTGTTATAATACTAAAACAAGAAATAAACTACTGACATTTAACATATTATTACTTTGATATAAAATTCAAAACTTATACTGATACTACGCAAACTTGACGAATTTATTCTGATATTATTAACCAAAGATACAAATTCAGAAAGGAAATGTAAGTAAAAGAAAACTAAAACTCTTTTGAAAGAAACTTGGCTCATATGTGGTCTAATGATAATCCACATGCCGTTTGGTAAAGAATGTTTCAGCATAAATTCAATTGTAATGTGTGGATTGATATTTTGAATGATTCTTTTCATTTTTTAAACTCATCGATAAAATATAATATCATTTTTACTATTTTTGTAACATGATTTACAACTATTATTACATGAAATATAACTAATGTCAGTATTACTATGATGATTGCAATTAGATGGTTGTCAAACATATTACACAAGATAGGTAAAAAAATTGTTAAAATGAATATTATTCTCAAAGATGGATTGGACTAGACGGAACATTTTAATCGTAAAGCGATAAAAAAGAAAAAAAAATAGAAAAATAGGTCATCCTGTTTAACCACTCGCAACCGCAAACGAGATATCTCGCTACTAAATATGATTCATGTGAGACGTTTTGAACGAAATATTTTCACGTAGCTCTTGTAACTACTATTATTAGTTGTTCCAAAGGAATACATGAGTTTATTAATATAATAACAAAAGATATAGGTATAATGATAACAAGATGGGTTGTCAATGTAAATAATGTCTAGTGATTATTATTTTTCTTTATTATTTTCTTATTCTCTAGGATATAAAAATACTTGAAAATACGAAGTAGACTTGAAAATGATCTTGAACGAAGGCTCATGGTATATCAACATACCTATTATAATAGGGTAATGGAGTAAAACTTCTCGTCTTGATGCATTCACGAATTAATGAGCAATCCAAGGACTGAATCGATCGCTCGTTATGAAACAATCTTATGCGAGAGCACGTTCAACATTAAGATTTTGTTTTTTTTTTACATAATTGTTGCGTGTGTATATGTCTTATGTGAATATCTGTGTGTATATATTTAATAAGTAGTTAAATCTAATTAACAAATTAATTTTGATTCTAGCGGTAATTATTTGTGCTTATAATTATGAAAGTAGTTCAAGTCATATATCTCTTGTTTCGAGATATGTAAAAAATTACATTTGAACAATATATGAATTTTATAAAATATTGAAATAGCAAACATTATCTAATAATTCATTTTTAACAATATTACATTGAATTTATTTAATTTAAAATAATGTGATGTGAGATAACTGATAAACTGATTTTTTTTTAAATTGTGATTTAGACCACTTTCATAATTATGGGCACATTTATGGTCACTCAACTGGTTATTAATAACATACATAATTAGTATAAGTAACTTGACTAATGGTTAGTTGAAAAGTGTGAAATGTTAATAACGTACGTGTCCTGTGGTCCATTCTAAAAATGATCTCTCTTATTTTGTTGAGTGACGTTCTCCAAGGGATTGAATTGCCGAGAGAATCCGCTTGAAACGTCTAGTAAATCGAAAGATTAATTTTAATCGCGGTATCTCGAAGCCTCCATTTCCGCTTTTCCCTTGACTTCAAGCTTATATGCGAATTGTGGTGGACTAGCAGTTTATTATTACTTTTAATTGTAACCGTTTACATCTCTGTTTTCTTCCTCATTCTCATTCTGTCTGTCTCTGACTGTCTATCTTTCTCTCTCTCTCTCTCTCTCTCTCTCTCTTTCTTTCTTTCTTTCTCTAGCATCATTGTTTCCAGATAATTAAATTCACGGTAGAGAAAATTTTACCAGTTACGCGTACGTAAGGTATTTTATATTTTATAATAAATTCGTACAACCACTAGAAATTTTATAAAACGAGATTTATACAATATAACATGTATTAAGTGTGCCGGAAATCTTTATGGTTTTTTTTTGTTTTTTTTTTTTTTTTTTATTCTAAAACTTTTAATAAAAGTCTATTTAAATAAGTAAGTTTATTAAATTAATGGTCTTAACTTTTCGTCATTTTTTAATGATCCTTTTCTTATCTATCATGTAAGAGAAGATTTATCTGATATAAACTTCTTTTTTATAAGGTATTAACTTTTCTTTAAAAAAGATGTTTTTTAATTTTTATTATTATTATTATTATTATTATTATTATTATTATTATTATTATTATTATTATTATTATTATTATTAATATAAGAAATTTTATTTGAAGTTTTTAAATGTAGGAAGAAACATTAATTATTTTTGTCAAAAATCTTTAGACAAAATTTTGTTTAGTTGCTTATTACGTTGTAACGGATAGAGTATAATAAAGCAATCTTTTAGAAAAAAATAACCTGTAAAGAGCAATTTACAAGACTTTGAACAAGTGGAAAAGAGATAAAGAAAAAAGACAATGTTAAAAAAAGTTAGGAAAACTGTATTGGAATGAACGCATAGAGAAAGGGATGATGAAGGATGAATAGTGATAGGGAGGATAGTATCTTAAACATGTTTTTATACATTTTTCTAAATGATCATCGATCGAGCTCAGCTTAAAGATAAATATTTTATTTTTTTATTTTTTACATTTCGTATGTAAAACGTCATATACGATCAAAAATATATGAAAATACTCAACGTGTTATTTCCAATAAATAAAATGACAAAACGGTTGCGTTAAATCTTGAAATGAATTAATCATTCATGATGTGAGAATTATTTATTAATATTATTTATTATATTTATTATTATATTTTTATTAATATTATTAATATATTTAAAAAAATAATCCCATTTAATATATATATATATATATATATATATAAATTTATTACGCTTACTTTCATTCATATTACATTTCAGACGACTTTACCTGTAAAAGATAGCACATATACTATACTTGTATTTACGTATGCAACGGAAAGACGGCGACATAAATATCCTTTTGCCTTTTCGTCACCCGTTACCTTTTTTTCCCCTTTTTTCTCTATTTTTTTTTTTTCTTTTTTTTTTTCTCTTCAGTTACTTATTTCTTTTTCTTGCCGCCTCTATATCCACTTTTCTTCACCACTTTATCCTTCTCTCCTTTCATCTCCTTTCTCTTACCTTTTCAGTAATAGAATAAAGTGATCGTAAATATGTAAACTTCTTGCAAGCCGTGCACATGCAAACGAAGATATCTCAGCCGTGAGGAGGAGGTCTCTTGAAATTGTAAAAATATGCGAAAGACACGATAGTCCATTTTAAGTAACCCTCTCTAAATCGAGAACGAATTTCGATTTTCGATTTCCGTTCTACGATGTATGTATGTAATGTTATTTTTTTAATGTATGTACATAAGTACTTATTTACTATAGTATCATCAACGAACATACCTCGAAACAATCGAAATTAGAAATTAATTGGCAACAATACGCTAGTTATTTTGCACGAGTAACTTTTAAAATAGATCATGGCATTTAAATCGGTAACAAGGTAATACGAGTAAACAAAATATCTTTTTTATTTAGGTCAACGAAAGATTTTACGTGTATGTAATATACTCGTCTTGAATACCCATGAAAAACAAATATTACATCGAATATCGAAGCCGACTAGTTCGAACGTAGTTTTTTTTTCTCGCTCGTTATTCTAACGAGTGTACAAAACGAACAAAATTAGGATCAGAGATTTAAAATAAATATATAAAGGAAAGATAGAACAAATACAAAAAAAAAAAAAAAATAAAAACAAAAATAATAATAATAATAAACATTTAACGAGAATGAAAAATAATTTGATATACAATTGGACATTGTAGGGTGGGATGTGATTGGGGTAGAGGTTTCAGAATAATGTAATTATAAATGCATTTAACACGTTATATAGAATTATTTGACATTGTTACTTCTGTTATGGTTTTTTTTTTATTTTTATTTTATTTTTTTATTTTTAGAAATACTGACAATGTCCGGAAAGTTATGGACCGTTGAACAGAAATCGTTGTCAATGGATCGTGGATGAGCATCATGGCGAATCAAACGGCTGATTACCATGGCGACGTTTATCAATGGAATCGAACAGTGCCGACGGATGAACGCGATACGCAAATGGAATATTATCTGCCCAATTGGACCGATCTCGTATTGGCTGCCCTGTTCTGCATGCTGATCGTCGTCACTATAGTAAGCTAGTTTCTAATGTATTTGCCACCATACTACTACTACTACTACTACTACTACTCTCTTTCTCTTATTCACACCTCCTCTACTTATCTTCAACGTAGTTGTCTTCAACGAATATCAATATTTCGATAAAATTTTCTTCCTTTCCTCGTACCACGACAACTCGGAGTTCTATCCGAAAATCCATGAGTAAGAATAATCGAAGAATTTTAAATAGCTGACTTTATAAATAATTTCGTACAAGATAATTTTTCTAGCTGAATCAATTCTATCGGAAATGTTTCTAAAAACGATAAAATAATTTTTTTTTTCGTCTCGCGTTGTTTTTTTTTTTTTAATGTTTCATTTTATTTTCTCTTTTCCTTTTTTAAAACACTTTCTCTTATCTTTATCAATATGTGGATATAATACATATCAATGATATTTTTAAATTATTCTTTCGGAACATTTAACAATTACGTTAATTATAGGAAATAGAATAAAAAATATATTACTTTTTAAAAATACTTTTATTGTAATCGTGAATTAGAAAAATGATTGATTCACTGCAACCAATTTCATAAAATAATATAACTAATTTTGTTAATACTGAAGGTCTAATTTGCACATCACACTTTGTTACTGTGATACAACTATCTTTCCTTCTTTTCGAATGCACCGTAGAACATTGGTAGTTTGTTTATTGTTAATCATTAATTTAAATCTTATGCTTTCATTCGTTCATGCCTATCTCTATTTCACGTGTGTTGTGATAACGTTTAAACGCTAGAAACGGCCGAGAGAACATTTGTTTGCATCGTGATAAACGACAACTCCTTTATTTCCAACAACTATCTTACACATTTCATTTGTAAAATAATCTTCCTTTTTTCTTTAATAATTACACAAAAGTATTCAAGCAAAAAAGATATATCCTCTGAGTGCTTCTTTGCGTTCATTAATTATTTTCTTCTTTACTCTTTTAAAAAATAAAAATAAAGATAAAAAATATACAAAAAATAAAGTCTTTAAAGTCTTTTTATTTCACGTTTCTCTTTCATTTTCTTTTACATTTATTTTCTTTTTTCTTCTTTTTCTTCTTCTTTTTCTTCTTCTTCTTCTTCTTTCTGGGCGTTAAAAAATGACAAAATAATTCGAAAGCTTTTGCCAGGCTCCAAAAATCCTTCAGACGATGAATGAAATACCAACATCTAATCTTTCACTACAATATCTTAATACAACTATATAAATATAATCTTTATTCGTTTAACATTAGAATTACCAACAGTTGAGACATAGCTACCAAAACTAGTCAAAATGACTGGTCTTTAAAAAAGACATAAAAGTAAAATATTTTTATATTTATTGACTTATTATTATTTCACAAAATAAACTCCATGTTCTGAGATCTTAAAAACTATATAATAACAATAAGTACAATAATGAAGAATATTTGGTATCAAAATCTTTGGTATCAAGAATATCAAAGTTGTCAAAACAGTCAAAATGACTTGTGTGGTATTTCTAGTGTTAAATAATCTTCACTTTTTTTTATTATATATTATTCTTTATTTATCTCTTTACACTCTTACCAAATTTATTTCCACATAAATGATATTCTATATGTATTTCTATTGTAGGTTGGTAACACACTGGTTATCGCAGCAGTAATTACAACGAGACGATTGAGGTCCGTTACTAATTGTTTCGTATCCAGTCTGGCTGCCGCGGATTTATTGGTCGGTTTGGCCGTAATGCCACCAGCTGTATTACTACAGGTATGTCTATGTTAGAACCGAAGAACATATGCCGTTATACGTGAGTGCATATGCAGCGTTCAAGAGAGGAAGAAGGGGATAGAGAGATAGATAGAGAGAGAGAGAGAGAGTTAGAGGGGGGTTTTTAGAAAAGGGGTGAGGAAGGGAGAACGTCTCTTCTGTTTCATCGACATTGCGTTGAGCTTAATTGGTAATCAGTGAATGGCAGGCAAGTGCCCTCATCGCATATAATTTATGTCGGTTACCAGAAACGTCATTGATATGCACCCTCACTAATTCTCACGTTTCTTCTTTTTTTTTTGCCATGAATTTATAATTAATCTATGTATTTCGTTTAATCTAAAAAAAAAAAAAAACAAAAACAAATTTAATTTTTTTCTCTTAAATTCAATTATTTTCTGTTTTATTTTTATTATTTTTCGATAATAATTGTTAATCGCGAATTAAAGGTATAAATGTTATTCAGTATCACATTTGACCTGGTTTTTATCCCCGATCATATCTGAATAAATCTATTCGATACAATATGGATCTCTTTTTACATTTTTATTTTCTTCTTTTTTTTTTTTTTTTTTTTTTTAATATCCATAGCGAAATGAAAACCGGAGATACAAAAAGAACAAAAGAAATAACAACAAGTATAAATAAACGTTGCTAGTCATTTGATTGAAAGAGTAAATATTTTTTCTACGATCTATTGTAATTTGGTTCAACGATATTTACGATATTAATATCCAATCGAGAATTTTGTGTGTGTGTGTGTGTGTTTTTTTTTGTTATACATTTATTCATTATTAGACTAGAAAAATGAATATTTTTCAATTCTTTTCTTTTATTTTATATAAATTTGGCAGAGAGGCAGGATTCTTTATGATTCTTCGATCAATTTAGCATTTTTCAATTTTTACTTGGACGAATGTTTTTTACCAAATTAAACACACCAATCATAAGTAATATTCCTGAAACTCTCGATGAATCGTTCTGGTAGGTAACGAATGGTGATTTTACATTTAGATTAAAGTCCAGCTGAATATAATGGAGCTCATCAACGAGATCCAATCGAGATGATCTTGATAGTCGACAATTAGTTTAGGTAATTAGGACGTTCTTCGTATGCACAAGAGAAAACTCTAGGGATTTTCGGACTTCCAATCCATCCAATCTTTTCTAATATTTTCTTTCGAAGATTCTTTTAATAAAAAGTAAACATTGGATCGGCTTAGATTATTAAATAATTTTTTCATCTGTTAAATTAAACTTATAATAATAATAATAATAATCGAGAAAAGAAAAAAAAAACATATGTTTATCATTTTTTGGTTGGAAAGATTTGTTAAAAAAAAAAAAAATTCCTTTTAAAAATATTCGATATTTATTCTACCAGTGTATTCTCAAATATCTCTTTCATTTTATTTTATTTTATTTTTTTTTTTTTCGAAAACTCTATCATCAAAATTGGTCTGATAGAAAAGTATTGCATCGGACAAAGATCAAAGCTAAGTTTTCTCGAAGAAGTAAGTCTATCTTAGCCGCATCACGTTGAAAGTTTTACTTGTGAATAACTTTGAAATAGTATTTTATTTATTTTTTTTTTTTTTTAAATTCGAGATATCTTCAGGAATATCATCCAGTCACAAAGATACTTTAGATATTACATTAACAAATACAAAAACAAGAAAAAATAAATGTATAAAACAATATTGAAACTTTACAAATCTTCCGGAATAGTTATCAACATATTTAATAAATGTTTTATCAGACGTAATAAAATGTTCTTTTTCTCTCATTCTTTTTCTTTTTTTTTTTTTTTTTTTAAATATGTTCATGCCTCGAATACGATAACACAAATATACGCATTAAGAATATTTTAAATGAAATACAGTTATATCAAAAATATGTAAATAACATATAACATTACGAGATGCACTAGCGCGTGATAAAAATTATAAAAACTTTTCATTCGTTTTATTTAATTTTTGTCATGCACGATTTGGTTTTCATTGAACCGATATTTTTCCCGATTCTTTATCGCGCATAAAATTTGACAATAAATTATCACTAAAAATACAAAAAAAAAAATAAAAAAAAATAACAAGTTAACAAGAGGAAAATACATCTCGTATAATCGATTTTAAATTTAACTCGTAATATCGATGACCTCAATAAAAAGGGATATACATATTTTTATTGGATTAAAAAAGAAAAAAAAATATATAAAATAAAAAGACACCTGTCATTCAATCTTTAGTCGAAATATTTCATTAAACTGTTGTAATAATGAAAGAAAGTATACAATAAATATCGAATCATGAAGAAATGTATCGATCTTTATCAAAAGCAAGCAAGACAATTTTCTAAAAATTGAATTCTATCGATGTCGTGTATTATTCTTTTTTTTTTCTCGATTGACAATCAAAGTATTCTTACAAAATGTTCAATCCAGCAGCTATCGAACGAGAAACTGAAATTCATCTTGACAATATCATCTTTCTCTCTCTCTCTCTCTCTCTCTCTCTATCTCTCTCTATCTATCTTTTGCGGTGTATTCTATCTTTTCACATTACTATTATGTCGTATGGACAAGTTGAACGGTGCAAGTTGGGAACTGGGTGAAATCCTGTGCGATTCTTGGCTGTCCTTGGATATTCTTCTCTGTTCAGCCAGTATCCTATCGTTGTGTGCGATATCCATAGACAGGTAAGATCCCATACACGTACTAACTAATCTTGTCACGTAAGTTTAACGAGATTATCTAAAAGTTCGTTTCTACGGATAGTCCACATGCAACGTACGCTAGATTTCTTTTTTTCTTCTTTCTATTTTCTCATCTTCCCTTCTACTACTCACACTATCAACGATAAAAGTATCTATGATCTTTCGTCCTGTGGCTTACTTACACACGTGCCACTTTCACGGCTTTTCTCTCATTTTCCAGCATTGAAAGATACCAACAAAACCGTAGAAAACTTAAAAGTTTTTCATTAAAGGGATGAAAGCTACGAATACTACTATCATGCTCGATTGCTTTTTCAAAGTTCGAATTTAAAGTCGCGTTTCACACGCGTTTCCGTAAAAATCGAATGGTCGTTTTCACTTTGTTACACTCGTATGTGTATATATCTATGTATGCGTATACATCATATATATTTTATCGAACCTATGTGAATACTTTATTACCCGATATTCCCTTAAATTTAATAATAATTTAACAATTTGCTCTCTTTTGCGGATATCTATTTATTACACTTTAACTACTTTTACAAATTACTATCATTTTTCATTGTAAATTCTTTTAGAAATTTATTTATTTATTGATGTTGGCCAAATTCCAACTGTAATTTTATCAAAATCACAATATATTATTTAGTAATGATACATGAGTTTTTAGTTACAGTATTGTTCAATTACTTAATTAAATAAAATGCATAATCTTTCAATTAAGTAAAGTAATTTTTGGGAAAGCTTTTATTTATATATAGTCATAAGATCTCATTACCATTTTACAAGTGTGTCATTTTGAAGGTACCTAGCTGTGACCCAACCATTAGTCTACAGCCGAAGACGAAGAAGTAAGAGATTAGCTGGTTTAATGATCGTAGCTGTCTGGATACTAGCAGGTGCGATTACGAGCCCTCCTCTTCTTGGCTGTTTTCCACGAGCAACTGATCGTGATAGCAAAAAGTGTACCTACAACATGGACTCTTCTTCCTACGTTATATTCTCCGCCTGTGGGTCTTTCTTCTTACCTATGTTAGTTATGCTTTACGTTTACGGAAGGATTTCCTGCGTTATAGCTAGTCGACATAGAAATTTGGAGACAAATGAGGCTGATAAAACTACTAATCGACGAACTCGACATGCAACGGTAATAATATTCTCATTTTTTATTATATTTTATGTTATGATTTTTTCGAAATTTCTTCTCATATCTCGAGAAATATGCGCTGGCAACTGGCAAATAAATAATTGCGAATTTTGTCGATACGCGGTTTTTTACAAATTAGCAATTACTTAATTGCAATCCCAATACTATTAATTCAAACAAAATCGTTTCAATAATATTATTATTATTATATTAATATAATATATTATATATATATTTAAACAAATCGTTTCGGTAATATTATTATTATTATTATTATTATTAAATCGTTGTAGTAATTATACTTTTTTAATTTGTTCCTTTTCTTTCGTAAATTTATACAATTAATTTCTAAAATGTTAGAAATCAATTGCAACGGCCTGGAAAACATTTAATGATTGTTAACCCCCCCCCCCACACACAATTTGACGTAGTACGTTCTTCTGTTCTTATTCTTCGTCTTTAATATTATCTGTTAAGTCTGCTAACACGATTCTTTTGCACGTTACACGATATTTAATCGATAATTCGATTTGTAGTAGATCACGCGATACATTCAATTGATGATGATTCGTAATTTTTATTTTTGCTTTTCTCTCATAATTTTCGTTTTGCTAGCAATTTTCTTGTACTAAAGAAAACCATTTTTAAAATGAAATTTACAGATATTATCTATCGGAAAAGTAATTTTTAACAATTGATATAAAAAAAGAAAAAGAAAAACTAACTATTATAAAATTGATGTTTATGGTATCGTGAAAGATAGGAATTAGAGAATGTCAAGATTCATATGGTCGTTTATCAACATATAACACAAATACTTTAATAAAAAATCCAAATATTTGGATTTATTCTTATATACTAATATTTCAGATATACATCAACCAATTATGTGAATTTTGACATTCTTAATATACATATTGTTTTTATTCAGTCAAAAAACATTAACTATACTTTCATCCTAAAATGACTTATGTAACTTAAATTGAATTTTCGAATTTATTATCCATAACATTATAAAAACCATCAATACTAGTTTATGAAAGTATTAACATAAACCGTATTTGATTCTCAAACCTTAACTTTTCCTATTTAATCCTTTTCGGACGTATTCAATTTGGACATGGGTGTCATAGTGGTCGGAATTAATTTATATATATATAATATATATAATAAATATTATTATTTAAAATACATAATTGTTTACATTAATATGTAAAATACATATAAATTATTTATATAAAATTATCACAGTTTCTCGTGTGGTGGCTAAGAGTGTACACGCGTCCGAAAAGGGTTAAAATTTGTTTAACGAATATTAACTAAGATTAACATAGATGATAGTAACATTTTTCTAAACATAGATTATACGTTTATTTTGATCTAGCTCGAACGTACAAAAAGTATGAAGATTCGACGTTCGGAATGTACGGTTGATGGTGATCCTTGCGAAAGAACATCAACCGAGGGTGACGTTACGAGCAGCAGTTGCAAGAAAGTAGGTATAGTTCGAGGTCATCAACAAAGCTGCATCAACAGGGTAGCAAGAGAAACTAAAACCGCTGGCACATTGGCTGTAGTAGTGGGTGGTTTCATAGCTTGCTGGTTACCATTCTTCATTCTCTATCTTGCCACTCCGTTCGTCCCAATGAAACTACCGGACATCCTGATGCAGGCATTAACGTGGCTAGGTACCGACAATTATACAAGTTATTGTTTCATTCTCTATTCTCGCTTATTATATTTCTTTCTCTCTCTCTCTCTCTTTCTCTTTTCCTATATTTCTCTTTCTGATAAAATCCTAAGTACATATAATCAAGACATCATTTTGTAAAAGTATTTCCGTAAATTATCTCTCTTTCATGGTGTTTTCATTTATCTCAAACGTTTATGTTATATCTTTGATATTTTTTGGAGAATTCATAAAAACGTATGAACTGTCAATGTTCTTCTTTATTTATTTATTTTTTTTTTTTTATAGATAAATAGACGGATAAAACAAACTTACATTTAAAGGATATATTTTAGGTTTATATAAGTAAATATTTATACATATGTGTGTCTTGAATCACATATCTCATCGCGTTTTTCCATATACGTATACCTATATGAAATACATATCTAGAATTCGTGTATTTATCCTAGTTCCACTTACTCATCGAGAAATGCAATTTTGATCAAAATCTTTTGCACGAACTACCTAGGTGTTAGAGAAACCTATAAAAATTCTTCTGAGATTTCCGGTACGAAACGTGTATATCGTATCATTCTACGACTACGTTAGATTTCTACTTTTCCTTAGAAAAATTCTACGTTTTTCTTTGATAATCTATGAAGATTGTTCGAAGAAACGCGAGAAAGTGAACTTTACGTACTGTAATCACGTCAAAAATAGAAAAAAAAAAAATAGTAAGACAAGAAAGAGAATATAAAATGTATATATATATATATATTTTACGTATAATTTATATCTTATATTTTACCAGATATGCCATAATTTAACTTTTTTAATAAAATATTTACGGAAACTATTTCAGTCCAAGATTCTAAATAGATATAACATATATATACAGAAAATGAAAAAGGGAAAGAAATAAATAGGAAATAAGAAATAGGAAGAAAGAAAGTTGGAACTTTTATATACATATATACAAAGCATACATTCATATGGGTATATACAATGCATACTGAGGATTCTATATATATATATATANTATATATATATATATATATATATATATATATATATATATATATATATATATATATATATATATGTATATATGTATATGGACAAAAAAATTGTAAGGAGTATTTGGTGGTAACATTCGTAAGAAGAAGGAAGTATTTCCATTTGAAATACGATAAAACTTTTGTTCACGTAGCACATGCTTGGTTCAGGAAACGATTTTATTGGTGAACTTTAACCACTGGAAAATCGATATTTCGTAAACGATCGATTCATTGATTCATATATTGTGGTCTTTTAACGATACTTCTGCCTTCTTCTCGCCAGATTAAAATCGCAACTATTTCAATGTACATTTACGAATAAACGTTTAGTTTTTGTTGTTATTTTGTTATTGTTTTTTCTGAAATTTAGGTTGGATCAATTCAGCGATAAATCCATTTATCTACGCGTTTTATTCGGCCGACTTCAGGGAAGCGTTCTGGAGGTTAACGTGTCGGAAGTGTTTCAAAAGTCAAACGACCTTGAATCACACCGAACGGAAATTACCAACACCTGCGACGTGGAGGAAGAACGCATCAAGAACGTGAAGAAGAATCGCAGATCGATCGATTGATCATTGAAATGATTGAAAATAGATCGCGAAGGACGTAGTAAAGGGGAAATACGATTTTCAATTGTGCATGATCGATATTTTCCCCTCCTTCTTATCCCCGTCAACCCTATACTCCACGTATCTATGAAAGAAAAAGTACGTAGGATAAGAAAATGAAATGAAAAAAGGAAAAGAAACATTTCGTTTCGTTTCGTGAGATGTTGCTGAAGAAGAAATCGTCTAACGATGTTTCCTGTATCGAGGATAGTCTCCTCACATCGTTTGGGTATTCTGATAACGAGAAATAGAGTTAACGAAAAATGGATGAAGATAGATGAATAGAAAAAAAGAAAAAGAGAAAAAGAGAGAGAGAGAGAGAGAGAGAGGGAGAGATTGAAGATCTTCCGTTCTTTAACGAATCTTTTCACGAGGATCACAATCAATTTTCTTTTTTTATATTTCCTAACAAATGCTACACTCTTAGCATAACATTCGATACTCGTAGATTAAATTCTAAACATATACTAAAGTAAGTTACTATATAAATTATATATTGATATTTATGTTACATATATATATATATATATAGATTTACTGTAATGTAAAGTTCGGTACATTTCAGAATGAGAAAAGTTCTATTTACCTTCTTCAAAGATCGTTTCAACTGATCGGTCTGTCGAGCTCTAAGTTTGAACCAAGGCCACTTCTCTGTATTGCTCTCTCTATCTATCTCTCTCTCTCTCTCTCTCTCTCTCTCTCTCTCCTCTTACTTGTCTAATTTAGCAGTGGATTAGAGCTTGGATTAGTTACGGTTTAACTCTGCGTTAGTATCGATTTGACCCTCGGTTGTTTCTGAATTAGAGCTGCGTTAGGTCCTCCAGTGAAAACTTCCAAATTAGACGCTCATAGTTAGAGGAGAGAGAGAGAGGAAGAGAATGCAAGAGAAAATGATAGATAGAGAGAGATATATAAAGAGATAGAGAAGACTCGAGAGGCTAGTAGTTTCTATCTCGTCGACCTAGGAAAATCGAATTCCCTTCGAAAGTAACGTCAAAGCTTTCGACGATATATCAAGAGATGCTTTTTGTCGGTTTTTTTTTTTTCTTGTCTCCTTTTATCGAGAAACAGAGATAAGAAACAGGAAGATATATTTTTGATGAAAAAGACTTAATACCAATATGATTTTTTGTTGTACAAAAAACTTTCTCTTTATTTCTCTTTCTCTCTTTTTTCACTCTTGTAAACATAAAATTTTGATAAGTTCATTCAAAAATTTTACCTTTGGATAATAATAAAATTGTAAGATTTCTATTGAGCTTACGATAGTAGAATTGTTACGTGCTAGTTTGTAACATACGTGAATAGCGTTGAGAGATTTTGTTTAAAATCAACATTGAAGGAAGAATACATTTAAAATTCATACATACATATGTACATAAAAAATACGAATGGTCTCTCAAATAAGTTTTCATTTCTTATTAAATTAATTTATTCTTCTAAATAAATTAAAAGTATCTTTTTTTTTTTTTAACAATAAGTTTCTTCGTTGAAACATTCGAAAGGTATAAATTGTAAGAAATAATTCTACTACTCATCTCTCTCTCTCTCTCTCTCTCTCTATCTCTCTTTTTCTCTTGTTTTCTTTTTGAAAAATAAATAAGACATAATATTGTCTTTTGCTTTTTCCAAACGTTAATTAACATTCTATCAAAGAACGCGATGTCTACTACTTAAAATTAAACGCGTGTAAAGTTATACAACCTGCAAAGTATTCAGTGAAATGTGTGCAATGGGAAAAAGTTTAATTAAAAAAAAATAAAATAAAATAAAAAAGAAACGTTGTTATATATATATATATATATATATCGTTGAATTATTATACATGTAGATCAATCTTGTAATTCCTTTCAAACGACGTGATGATCAAATTTTCTAATGCATACGAATAGTTTGTAATATTCGACGAGATAAATAAATCTTTTTCTATATATACACATACTTAACTTATCGCGCTGAATATTTGTTAGAAACGAACAACAACAACGTCATCGATATCATCTAAAAGATCCTTTTAAAAAAAAACTTGACCATGAAATGACGATGCTGACGATCTGATCTCCGACACTTTATCGATTACGATGAATTGTCATTAAAAAATATATTTGTATACACAGCGAATGTGCAAAAAAAAACACACAAACGCATTGTCAGAATTTATCGAATAAAATATTACAGTACACACACAGACAAAGTTCTTATCGAATATTTATTTCTAACGATGTACAACGTTTGTTTTATTTTCCTGTGTACCTTGTTCGTTATAATTTTTAGTAAATAATTTATTAGTAAGAAATTACTTTAATGAAAAACAAATATCAATAAAACACTAGAGATTTAATTAATAAAAAGGTTTCTACGAATGATAATTTAAAACGAAAATTTAAATTGTTAACTAGTGATAAGACTGTGACAACAGTCGGTAATGTAGATTTTACTGTAGTTTTAAAGGATTACGTGGAACGTATCAGTAGAAATGTTCTTATCAATAGATAATATTCTGCATTGAAATTATCGACGTACCAACAGTTGCATACTTTCAGGGGATTCATACTTTAATGAAATTATAAACATTGAATATGTGATAAAACAATAAGGGATTATATTAGAGTGGTACTAAATGATCATTGTAAACTTTACATACATTTATTTAATTGCATTCATATTTCGAAGATTTGTTACATTATATAAACATAGACATTTTGCTTTCACGCTAATACCTAATTTAATACCTACATGTATAGAGCTATAATATTTCTAGGCATGCAGTATTCCAATTTTATTTGGTAAAACGTGCTTCGCGATAGACACATTTATACAAATCTCATTCGCGTCCTTTCGGAATCATTCTTCCCTTTCGATTATGTCTCTCATGCTCTCACGAATTTATATAATCTTACACACGCATTCCCCTTTCTCTCCGTTTTATCTCTTTTAAACTTTCTCTCTTTTTCTCTCTCTCTCTCTCTCTCTCTTCCTTTCTTTCTTTTTTTGCCAACATAGAATTCAGAGCATTCTGAAATACGCAATAATTTCGTTTATAATATCGGGAAAAGAGTGTCGGTCTTGTGACGTAAGTTTTGTGACTGTCGTAATGAAAAAAAAAAAAAAACAAAAACAAAAAAAATAGAACAATGAAAAGAAAAATAATTAAAACAACAATTTCAACTTATGTTGAGAAAAATATCATGCGAGAAATATTTTCAGAGTAAAAAATAAAATAAAAAATCGACTCAATTTAAAAAGGAGCTAATTATAAAAGAGAGAATGATAATAGTTATTTAACGTTTAGAATAATCACTGAGAAATATTTTTAGGTTTTTTTTTCTTTTTTTTTTTTTTTATGGGTCATGTTCTGAGCCAACACTCTTTTCGTCGCTAATTAACTCATCCCTTTTTTTTTGCCGGTTATTATTGTCCGATACAGACGTACATCTAGCGATAAAACGTCACCAACTTTTTTCTAGTTTTCTTTCTTTCTCTAGCTTCATCCTTTTATACGCGTTGTCTTCTTGTTTTTTTTTTTTTTTTTTTTTAAACTTTCCTCATTTTCTCTATTCTATTTCTTTAGCGTACCACTTTCTTCATTATAAATGTCTTCTTCTCGTTGATATCGAACTTTTCTATTATTCCGTACGCTCATCTACTTTTATATATATATATATTTTTTTTCTGCTTGATCGGATCAAATTCAAAAATTGTTCAATCGATGATCACTAAACTGATTTTTTGTTATTGTTGTTGTTGCTTACGTATGTTATTTATTCACTTTTCTTTCCTTTACTTTCAAAATCGATCACGTTGATTCACTTTAATTCGCACTTAATCGCACCTATATGTATATGCAAGAAAAATCGACTGGCCGATCAAATTTCGGAAAGAATTTATATTTTTTTTTTTCAAAATGGTCATCTTCGGACGTGAGTTATAAACGAAATGATATATAAGCGAGTTTTTTTTTTTTTTTTTTAATACGGGCTTATTAATTACATACAAAGTCGTACCAATGTTATAATATGACTTTTTTTTATGCATGCCTTTAGGTTACACCTATTCTTAAATTGGGCTATGAATTACGGAGAGAGCAGTGAGAAGAATCGATGATACGCTTTTTATTTATTTTTTTTTTTTTTTCACGATCCACTTTGTTTACGAAATTTTTAGGCGTGCTTGCGCGCGTGTGTTTTCTTTATTTTATTGCAATTAATTTTATTTTATATTTTATTTTATTTTATTTTATTTTATATTATATTCTTGTCTTTTTTCTTTTAGATTAATCGAACAAAGACAAATATTAAATACACATAGCCATTAATCAGGAATCAATGAATTGATTTGATGAAAAGAAAAAAAAAACCCACGCGCATAAGTTAATAGTTTATTGCTTAATAATGTAATTAAATCGATTGTGAATTTTATTACAATCGAGATAGTTAATTGTAAACGCTTTATTTTATTTTATTTTTTTTATTTGTCAAGTGGCAGTGGATGATTTCTTGCCAGATAGGTGCACTTGTTAACATATATTATTAAATGGTATCATACGCGAAATAATCTCTACTTATTATTTTTTTTAGCGAATTAAGTAGTTTCGAATGATATTTCTCGTACGAACAAATATGATACACACAATCCTCCATATAAATTATTTTCTTATACAAAAATAATTGCACGAAGATTATTAAGTTTTCTTCGCGTGTCGGATATGAAGACTCCACACGTTTGGAAGTTATTTTGGAGTCATCGATTTTTATTTTTTTATTTTTTTTTTTTTCTGTTTTCTTCTTCTTCAAAGTTACATATTCTCAAATTTGAATTCTCATTGTTCGTTAACATTTAACAAAATAAAATTCATTCAAAATTATTATACTTGCAACTAATCGAACGATTCGTTTTTAAGCTAATTTATTTTAATTTCAATTAAATTCAAAGGAATTTTATTTTGGTCAAACGAAATGTGCTGTTAGATTTAAATATCTAATTTTTTATAATAATAGGAAAAATTTATTTATATATAATATTTATACCAAGCTTTAAAAGTTAATGGTCTCCGATAGTTCGTTTCAAAATATATCTTAACGATTAGGTTTCTTAGTTTTCATGTATCTCGATTATTTCACGAATTACACCTTAATTGTAAACGCATTTTCTTTGTTTTTCATTTGTCGAATGGCAGTGGATGATTTTTTGCCAGATAGGTGCATTTGTTAACATATAATATATTATTAAATGGTATCATCCGTGAAATAATTTCTACCTATTATTTTTAACAAATTAAGTAGTTTCGAATGATATTTCCTGTTATTCTCGCGAGAATAATTAGGCCGTATTTAATGCGATAATAAGTCATCTAAATCATCAACTAAGAAAACTAATTTTTTCCTTTTTCAATGTTCTATTTCCATGGAGACCATACAATCTATTCTTGATTAAAATGATGATAATTTTTTAATTTATGTACACTTTAAAAAGCTGCTCCCGTAGAATGTAATCGTTTTTCTAATCGTAAGTAGGCCGATTCCAAATTAACAAAGTCTACACCTTCCGTGAAATGGATAGAAACGAAAATGTAGAAGAAAAAAGAGAATATAAAATAAGAAACTATATATATGTATATATATTATTTTTAAACTTTATCGCGTATGAAAAGCTTAATTTCAAAACTATCGATAAAAAGTTTAAAATAACGCTACAATATATAATATAATATATATGAGTGCTAATTCTTTAACGTTTATGACGTTTAAAGAAATATAATATGTAAAGTAAACTAAGGAACGAAAAAAAAAAAAATAAAATAAAATAACATATTCGCGTAATAAAATATCATATTTGACTCGTTAAACGAGCAATCTTCGACGAATAAATAAATATTGAGCGATAAACACGAAGAACAAAGAAATTAAAATAAAAAATTAGTCTCCCGAGGAACAAACGCTTTTTTCAACTATACGCGTATTCGTTATAAATGCATTACGATAAAAAAAATGTTGCAGTCCTTTCTTTTTTTCTTCTTTTTTTTTATTTTATTGCATATTCGAACCAGAAGTAAATTATTTCTGGGTATATATATATATATATACCCGACGTGTAGGATTGTAACGTTAGTTGAGTAAAAGACGGGACACGTTGAAAACTATTATTTATCATGCGTAAATAACTTTTCTTTTGTAATTCGTAAATACTCACGAGTCTTACGAACCATGATTTTTTTATTTATTTAAATAGTGTGGCCACATTACGTGCTCGGTTAAATATTCGCGACTGCAAGTATGTTTTATCTGCGTGTGTGTTTGTGTATGTATGTATGTGTATAAGTGATTGTTTGCATTTTATTCGTCACAAGCACGCGCGTTTTCGTATTCACAAATCGTATCGTATTAGGGATGAAAATGATGCGTGTACGCTTGCATCCTTTTTCCCCATCTTCCTCTTTTATTATCCTTCCCATTATTAATTTTTTTTCTCCAACCTACCCTTCCATCCCTCGTTCCACAGTTATGAATCCTTACAATCCTATAATAATACGTGTAATACCTAATATGCGTTAAACTGCAATATGTATGCGCGTGGCTTATTATTATTATTTTTTTTTTTTTTTAAATTTTTCCTTTTTAATATCGATAGTCCATTATACTTAATATTACGTACAATATACTTTTGCTTCTTCTCTTTATCATCAATAATAATAATAATAATAGTAATAATAATAATAATAGTAATAATATTAATAATATTATTATTATTAATAATTATAATAATAATAATAATAATAGTAATTAATAATTAATAATACATATCACACTGAGCCGGCTGTGTGTGTCCATCTTAGTTTTGATCCGCACTGTTCTATGTCACTCTCACTTTCAAAAATCTCCTGCGTATTTATTTTAAAGGTGCGTCGAAGATAGAGTCGCAGTTATTTTATTAATTCATCACCTAATCTATAATCATCCCTTTTTTCTTCTTTCCTTCTTCGGCGCATCTTCGAAAGTTCGGGGATATTTAAAAGATCGATAACGCGACATTTTGGATCGCGGGGTTTCCTTGTCAATGATCTCGTTGAGTCTCGTTATACTGCTACGATGATGTTTGTTGAAATATAGTTTGTTGATTGCTCGACGAGATGTGGATATTACTACTTGCTAGTAGCACTTTCTAGTGCAGGTGCACTTACGAACGAGGTCAATGTCCTTTGTGTATCGCATGCCATCCGTACAGATAAGCCGAACCTAAAATTTGACAATTTGACAATATTTCATATTTGGAGAAATATGGGTAAATGATGTTCGAAATATGACAAAAGTTAGCAACGTTCACATAAATCTTAAGATTCAAAGTTTACTATAGTATTAAAATAATAATGAATCATTTCGACAGTTTAGGAAAATTTGATATCGATCGAACATAAAATAGAAAGAGAGAGAGAGAGCGAGAGAATGATTACCTTGCGTCGTTTGGTCTTTCTTGGTAAGCAGCACGAATTGCCGCAACTTCCCCAACATTTGGCAAGTCTCACAGGTCGTCGACTACGGCATCCGTTTTCGCTGTAGTACTCCTTCGTGTGCTCTTTACGACACGTTGGCGCTGAAACGGAAATGAAAAGTTTAACTTGGATCATCGAATGCCACCAGCATACTCTATAAAGTTCCCATCCCCCTTTCGAAAAGTCCAAAACTCGAAATGCACCACTCAATGAAATTCGTTCTACGATTATCTTGTCTCAATCATGAAACGAACGACTGGGAGATAGACCTTTCAAAAAGACCTTTTATAAGAATCACGAGAGTTTACTTTCTAATGATGTCTGTCAGGAAAAAGAAAAGGTTTCAATTAGGTAATATATATATAGAATAGAATCACCTTTCTCGCAATATCGCCCGTGCCAACCGATCTGACATTTGCAGGAATAATCATTCCCAGATGGAACGCATTGTGAGCCTTTTTTACACTCGTGGCTGATACAGGCATTTGAACTTCCAGTGGTAGGGAGCGATAAGACGATATCTGAAAATTAGTCAAGTAAGATTTCAGTACAAATTTGTATATATTTGAATCTTCGCATTGTATGGAAAGAGCAGTGGGAGGGAAAGAGATTAGAGAGAGAGAGAGAGAGAGAGAGATAGGAATTTCGAAGTTACCGGAATGTTCGCGAGGAAGAGGAATGTGCTCCTGTGGCAAAGTATCCTCATTACTGCCAACAGCAATGCCTTCGGCTTCGATGACGTCTCGTGCTTCATCAGCTTCCTCCTCGTTAGAAGCACATCCAGGAGTAACACGATGCCTCTTAGCTGCGTTACTAAAGTCCACTAGCTTGTGGTTGATCCACATCTCAGAGATGCAACCTGTGTTGGAAGGATTAAAGTTCGTTAGTTCGAGGTTTAGATTGGTTCGATAAAGGATAGATACTCTAACAGATTTAACGATTCGATCATCACCTTGGAAGCTCGTGACGTTCCTTAAACGGAACTCTGAGATGGCTACGTTGGCGACTTCGGGTGTAACACCACCAACGTACATCGGCGTGGTGAGCTTCAAATATTCCCTTGGGCCCTCGTTTATGATGCTTCTGGCAAGACCGCGATCAACCCTCATCGTGAAGTTCTTCTTGATCGCCAAAAGTTCAGCCATGTGGGGTTTACCATCGGAGACCATTTCGTAGCTATACATCGTTGACGTAGGATAATTTCCAACGTCGTAAGAGACTCTAACGCGACCGTTGAACAATTCGACGGCTATGTGCTCGCCATTTTGTCCGTCGTATAATAAAACCCCGTTTTCCTGCGTGGTCGTAAAGACGATGGTCACATTTGCCTCGGGCCTCGTGCGTAGCGGCTCTAGCTCGACCAGCGAGCTATTGTCCACGAAGCTCAGACTCGTCAGGTACTCGCATCGTTTTCCTATGTTTCATTCAAATTAAATATCTTTACTATGTTCTTTAATCGAATTATACATATGAATTATATTAATAATTAAAAATGTACCGGTATAGCCGGGGTGGCACTGGCAAAGATAGTCCGCGGCAGAAGCAGGAGCTGGCTGAAAGCAGGCACCATATTGACAATCGTGATGAGCACACGGACTCGTTTGCGGATATAACATGGCTGTTGATGGTGCAATCTCGCAGTACCTCCCAGTATACTCCGCCGCGCACTTACACTCGTAATTGTTTATGCCGTCGATGCAAGTAGCACCGTTCTAAAAGAAAAAATAATAAAAGAGATTCGGTTAGATTGAATGAGGATGACACATCGTGATATTGCGTGTAAATTGTAAATTGGAGTAAAAGGGATTGAGTTGTAGCGTACCTGGCACATATGATTATCGCAGTCATCCAAGTTGGTGGAACAATTAAGGCCGGTGAAGCCGATCTTGCATTCGCAGCTGTAGTGGGTCTGGTGATCGACGCATCGACCCCCATTCTCGCAGGGGTCGTGCCCTTTTGTGCAAAAGGGTATTTTCGCCTCGCAGTATTCTCCCATGAATCCTGGGGCGCAGTCGCATCGATAGGCTTGGACGAGGTCGACACAGGTCGCGTTATTGGCGCATTTGTTGTTCGCACAGTCGTCGACGTTACTCTCGCATCGGAGTCCCTCGTATCCGGGGGCACAGTCGCAACTGTCACACACGGACTGAACGTCAATCGAGAGATTGAGCTTGACATTCGGTCAAGCTAGATTCGTCAAAACTAACGTCGCTCTTCGGGGCTCACGTGCACGTCCCGTTTCATATTCTACTCTTTCTATATTTTCTTTCTTTCTTTCTTTTCTTTTCTTTTTTTTTTCCATGACCGCTATTAACATACTCGTACAAAAATCTACGAGATTACTACTGATAAGGCCTAATCGATTAAAAATTACAGTTTCATCGTCACTATAACTATCATGCATTTTTTAAAACTACTTTCTACCAATTGTTCTTAATCACTACTTCGTGTCTAATTGACGTATCGATCATTCAAATTGAATTTTCGATACGTCTTAATCATCATTATTATAATTATTATCCGTTACGCATTCGTAGGAAGCAGCAGGCTCGTTTTACTCAGACGTTTTTCTAATATTATCTACTATCGATCGATAGAATAGAGAGAGATATAGAAGAGTCAAAGGAATTCCGTCTGATAATTACGTAATCCTGTTGGATGATCTCGCGCGCCGACAGGATTCGATATATCGACGTCGAAGAGAAATTCAACTACGGGATAACGAGCAAGGCTAAAGTCGACCCGACGAGCTACTGACAAACATGAGAATAGTCTAGCTGGTAAATACCTGAATCTTCCTTCCTCCAATACTTTGCAAGTTCCGGAGTTCTTGCAAGGATTTCCATAGCACGCGTCAATTTTATGCTGACACCTGTCCCCGTGATATCCTGGCGCGCACTTGCAATGGAACTGCCTATCCGGAAGCGCCTCGCAGAGTCCTCCATTCTCACATGGCGAGGTGTAACACAGGTCGCACTTTGCCAGGATCTCGGCTGGCTGTTGCTTGGCTGCGCGGAAGAAAGGTCTACGATTAATGAGCAATTTTAGTACCGTACCGAGCTGATGGGCTAAAAAACCACGAACTAAACAGACTGATCGCGTTCCACGATTCAAACTAAAAACACCGTCACGACGTGATTAACTAAGATCGTTGAACAATACTTTGTCAAGACTAAATTTAACATTAACATTACAAAATTATATTTCTTGACAATGTTGTTCACACGATCCTCATACGTATCGATGGGATACTTACTTTTACAATAAAACGCATCAGGTGGTGTAGTTAAAAGAAGTTTGTCTCTCATATTTGGTGGATCCATACACTTGGCTATACCAGGTTCAACAAAATCTCTCTTAACCCATTCAGCTAACCAACGCATACTGCAGTCACAGTAGAGAGGATTCGAACCGAGTGCACTGGAATATGAATAATCGTAGTCATAATCGTTTCAAATTCCAATTATTATCGAACTTTTTAATATACCGTTGAGCATACTTACAGATGAGTTATCAATTTCAAATCCTCAAAGGCACCTTCGGGAATCACCGATATGTCATTGCCATGAAGAGAACTATCGGAATGAATAATTATCGATTAACGCTTTTCCTGATAGCAAATCTCCTATATTTCTACGTAATTAAACAAGATCGATTAAACACTCACATTATACGTAAAGACTTTAATCCTGCTAAAGCGTTTCTTTGTACACACTGCAATTTGTTGTAACTGATAATTCTACGAATAAAAAAAATACAAAGAATAATTATAAAGAGATCGTTGGGAGATTTAATCTTTCCAAAGAACAGATTAGAAAATGTGTCAACTTACAGGTGCGACAGCTTCGTGAGATTTCTAAAGGTATCGTTTGACAACATTCCGATCTGATTGTTGCTCAAATCGCTAGAAAAAGAAAAACAACGAATGGAAAAAGAAGTTTAGTTGGTGAAAGTTAACTGAAAAAAAAGAAAGAAAAAAAAAAAAGATAGTAAAGAGAGAGAAAAAGAAATATAAAGAGGAAGTTTTATTTACAGCTTAGTCAGAATCCTCAGGTGGTTCAGTCTCTCCGGCTGGATGGTCTTAATGTCGTTCTCGTCCAAATACAACTCCGTGGTTTCCGGTGGAATCCCACGTGGAATTTCCGTAAGCTGAGCCCTCGAACACCTCACCACCGAGCCGGCGCAATTGCACTGGGGTGGACAGTAATCGTCGCCCAGGCAGCCAACGCTGTCGTCTGATGTTCGTAAAACGAAACGGCAATCGTTAATGAAACCCTTTAACCCGCGAATTACCGCGGATAGAATAAGCAAGAGAGAGAGAGAGAGAGAGAACGCGTAGAAATGCTGATTATGCAAATTAAAACGCGCCTAGGTAATTTCATGCAAATTAAGTAGACGATTATTAAGTACTTAAATATTAATAAAAAACTATCTTATACTTTAGTTCTCTGAAACTTGATGATATAAGATTAAAAAGAAGTTTTATCTACCTACCGTTGGCCACCACAGTTCGTTCATTCGTTCTTTCGTTAACGCAAATAATTATTTTATGCAAACATAACAGATAATTATTATCTGTATCAGTACGTTATTACAAAAAAAAACAAAAAAATTAAAAAAGAATAAAGAAAACACGAATCGTTCTTTGATATCTATTTTATACAGGGTTACAAGAGAAAAAATGAAAGATACAGCACAAATTTTCCAATCCGGTTGTGTTTCAAAAGAGTATAGTTTAACGATAAAAATAAAAAAACAACAAGTAGCTTGTGTAAGAATCATACATACTGTTACATTTGAATTCGTGATGTGGAATATCTCTAATGGCTGCGTCCTTGAGTCGCGGGGGATCGTGACAACGACCGGTCATTCCTGTCATTTCTCGTTTCCTGAGCCATCCGGCGAACCATGCGAGGTGACAATTACACGACAGTGGATTGCCTTGCATGTTGCTGGAAACGCAAAGCTATACATCAAACTCACGACTCGAGCAACTTGGAATCATTAGAATTCATGTATTTGCGTTATATACGTAGTATGTATATCTTTTAATATGTATAGTTCGTTATCTTTGAAAAAGGATCTTGATAAACGGAAGCGTACACCACGATATGCAGCATGCGCTTTTAAAAGATAAATCCCTATGAGTAATATCAATTAATTATTAACGCTTACATGACACGAATGTGAGCCAATCCGTCGAAAGCTCCAGGCATCACGCAGGTTATAGCATTTCCGTGTAGATTCAAGCTCTTCAGATTCGTCAGACCGGTAAACATCTTGTTGTGAACCTCTCTAAGTCGATTGTCGGACAACAATCTGTAAAGAATAAACGAGAAGAAAATTCATAAGGTAAGACGAAATACAATAACGAAAGAAAGATAAAAAAAAAAAAAATGATTATCGAACGTTCGGTGAAAACTTACAGGTCGGTGAGTTTGTGTGCTCCTTGAAAAGCAGATGCTTCGATGCGTGAGATTTTATTTTTCTTTAGATCCAGAAGCTGCAATTCAGGAAGCTTTTGGAATAACCCATCCGCTTTGATCTTGTCCAACTCGTTGTTACTTAACAAACTGTATCGAGAGAAAAAAGGGAAAATAATAACCTGATAATATTTTCTCTTTGGTCTTTTTTCAATCATGCGAACAATGAATTAATATTGAAAGAGAAACAATATGAAATTAACTAATAACGTAATTGCTGATTTATTAATCAAATAAAATAATGGATTACGATTAATAAGATAAAAAAGAAATGATTATTTTTATTCGTATAGGAAGATAAATTTTGCAATAAAAACAAATTAAACCAATTGGTAAAATAATTTCGTTCAATTACACGTCATATTCAATATATATATATATATATATGATATATCTAACAAAGTACGATAAATAATGTTTGAAATAAAAGTTTCAAAGAGAATCGATCATTACAATCGATCGAAACAGTAACATGTAATAATGAATTCGTGAATGTTTAACAACGACAATTCATGCGTTCAAATTCAACGTGTCTCTCTCTTTCGATTATAAAACATTGCCCGTATATTCATGTCACGCGTACCCACATGAGTAGTGATATTGTGGAAAATAGATATGATAATAGTATTTATCTTCATTTCAGTGTCATATCTGATATCGATATTAGTCAAGTATTACTGAGAAAATGCGCAAAAACAACTCGTACAAAAATATTCATTCAATATTCAGTGTATATTATAAACCAAAAAATAAAGAAAATTACAGACTAAAATTATACGTTGCGAGAGATAATGTAAAGTGATACTTACAGAGCGGAGGTGTAGATCGGTAGATCTCGAGGTATGGAGGTAAGCTTCTTATTAGAACAATCGATAGTTGCACCGTTGCATGTACAAGAAGAAGGGCATGCACCGGGTAAAATGCATTCACCTGCCCTTTTGGTCAAAAGTTCTTCATCACCTATAAACAAAAAACCTCATTGATACAGTCAAATTAACAGTTTTATTGCCTGATCTATATAAATATATTCTAATTTTTATTAAAAAAAAAAAAAAAAAGAAAATAATAATAATAACAGAAAAGATATCTCTGCTCGTTAAAGTAGAAGCGATGCGAGTCTTTTATTTATTCACTAAACGAGCAATATACGATTATTTTGTGTATACCTACCGTATATTTTATGACGTTTCTCTCTCTCTCTCTCTCTCTCTCTCTTATTTGTGTATCTATTTTAATGAAATATTAATTTCTGCATATGGTAGAGAAAATAAATAATACAAATGTTAAAATAACATTTCACTTTTAATCTTCTCGCTCGCATCACTCCCATCATTGTCGAGTGAGTTACCGTATGCAAATGAGGCATTTCGTGATGAACGAGTGATAATGATATTTATTGATAACTATGTCGAATTGTCGATGGGATGATACCCCTTGATAGATGCTTAGTGAAATTTATTCGTTGTCGATATACCAACGACACAATCAAAAGGAGATACGTTGAATGTAATTATGTGAGATAGAATGAACGTGGTGAAACGATAATATACTGATTTAATACATTTTAATAATTAACAATCATGCCTGGCGACATTGCAAAACTGGGATCGGCCGGGGGTCGCTTGTAGGAGAACGTGCCCGTTCAATAATTGAGTGTTTAGCGGCATACGTTGGGCATTACACATAGTAAATATGTTTATGCATGAGAGCACGGCTATAGAGAAATGATTCATTGTCGCATTATACCTCTACATTGTAAATTAACCGAACCACGATACGCGTTTACGCGGACGCGAAACGATATCAGTAATTTATAGTAATGCGGATAACGATATGTTGTTCAGAAATAGGGAAAATCGATTCGTAGAATTATTTCTTCAATGAATCTATGATCAATGTTTAAATTGGATCATTGGTTTGAAAGTTATCAAGCTTATATACCAGCTTTAAATTGAAATGTAATAAGAAAAGGAAAGAGAAAAGAAAACCAAAGAAATATCTGTTATACTGTTTGCTACTTATTTTTCTATATATATATATATATCGAAAAAAGTATTTTCTTCTTTCGATAAAAATCGAAAATCGTTCGACCGTGGTCACGTTATTTGCCGAGGAAATAAAAGAACAACTTCGCAAAAAGATAGTATACTTTCTCTCTAAGGATTCGAAGGAGGAGGCGTTTGAACTGGTTGTGTTCGCCTTCTTCTTGTTTCTTGTCTTGAATCCTTTCGTAAACCGCGTGCGGCTTTAGCGTAAATTTTTACTATGGTTCAAGCGGAAGTTACGAAAGTTCCTTTCAAGTTTTACGCCCGGAGCGTAAACTCTCGTTTAGAGAAATGCACGTAACAAGAATACCCCTTTATACTTTGAAAAAGGGGTAGGAGACAAGGGCACATATGTGTTTCCGAAATGTTTATTCCCCGGCGTCGTTTTACTTCCTCTGACCTCTTCATACTGAAAAAGAGTAGCTATACATATATATAGCTATATATATATGTATATATAGATATCTGTACACGTTTAGCAAAAGTCTACAAGTATGTACATACGTACGAAACGTGTGTTTTTCAAGATTATCCTGTGTACTAGGCAAAGTGCATTTGGGATAAACGCGAAACCGCGAAAGAGGAGAAAGAGGATGGGTGAAAACTTTTGGCTATTATCCTCGAACATATACGGCGTATTACCGTGGCCTCTTTATTCGAAGTTTGTATATCCACTCTTTCTCTCTTACACGACGTAATCTAAAGAAAATAAATAAAAATAAACAAAATTTAATTTCTATAGAAAGAATCGTTTAAAAATTCTATCCGTAGATAATAAATTTCTACGTTTAGAATGTAATTATTTTTATAATTTAATTCTAAAGTTATCGTTGAAGCGTGAAAAGTAATATGAAATAAGAAACATCGATATAATCCGATAATTACAGTTAACATAGAAATGATATCGCGTTTGTCACTTTTGCGTATAAGTTTGAGATGTAAGTATATTATAAATTAATGAACTCGAAATGTGGCCGAACAAGTCGCAATAAGCGTATAACAATAATCATAAATGTCGACGGTTGGTCCTTATGAGAAGGATAATATGCTAGCATAATAAATAAGCAATCGGTGGAGAAGCTGGAGTGGAGACAGGGATTCTGCAGCGATGCATCCAGTAGCAATTACACAGGCTCGACAAAGTGCACGACATTAATCAAAGGAATCCAACCGTGGCTACACCTGTACGGATTGGCCGATCATCCAGACCGGACGTGCCGACAACTACCGAGAAGAAGAAGAAGAAGAAGAAGAAGAAGAAGAAGAAAGAAAAATAAAATAAAGGTCTTGGCGTTGGTTGCGTCGCAAGATGTATGTCGAAACGAAGATGCAAAAAAACAAACCATTTCAAGAGGATGCACCATGAGACTAACGAAGGTACATCGAGCGTAATATCAGCTCGTATGAAAGCATAAATCTAAATCGTTCATCGTTGGCCATGGTCAAAGGCAGAAAAGCTTTCGCGAACATTACTCTTCAGACCGATCGTCTAATAGCAGATTAGGAAGCATAATTATTCTTCGAGATAAGAGATGACAAACTCGTTTTTCGTTTTACAATTTTTCTATTTTTATTCATAAAGCATGTGTGGTAAAGATTTTAATTAAATTATTACCCTGTATAATATACGTAATATCGCGTATTACGATCTATGGTTAATTCAGTTGATCAATTTAGTTTTATTGTATTGCATTAGTTCGAAACGTTTCTCTATATCATCTATTGAGTGTATGTTCGATTAAATATAAACGTAAACACAGGAAACGAAACTTATTATAGTCGAGAAGTGGAAATGCATAATTAATGATATGTTAATGTAATTCTAATGATGAAAGGGGGAATGGGAGGATTGATAACAATGCGAAATTCTTAGTTGGGAGAAGCTACCGACCTGTATACACTGTCCTCTCGAAGTTTTAAGAAGATATACCGAAAAGGTCGAATCGTGCTTACCCTTACATTTGAACTTGTCGTCCCGCATAGAATCGATCTTCCGCTTCTGCGTCCTCTTCGGAAATTCACATTTTGCACCGGACGTCTCGATTGGATTATCGTGAAGATAGATGCTCAACCATCTCAAGTTGCAGTCGCAGATGAAAGGATTTTTTGCTAGATGTCTACGAAGAAAGAAATCCCATTTCTTTTCTTTTTTTTCTTATTCTTCTTTTAAACATCGTAGAATAAATTTTGGCATTTAAAGATATAACATAAATAATTGATAAACGCGCTAGATACAAACAGTGTTTTGATACTCCGCAGATTAGTGAGGGTTCCGTTCGCCAATGACTTGATGTTATTGTCGTACAATGAAAGTAATGTCAGGTTGTAAAGATCTCGGAAAAGGTCAGTCCTTATGCAAGAAATTTCATTAGCGTTTAACAAACTGGAAAAAAAAAGAAAATATATTGTTTCATTAATAATTCAATGCTGTTGTAATTATTTCATTGAACAATCAATTAACCATGATGACTAGTTAAAAATCATTAAACGTAATACAATCACTCACAGTAATTGCAAATTGGTAAGTCCTTGAAAGACACCACCTGGAAGTTCACTGATTTTATTTCCGTAAAGAACTCTGAAATATATCAATTTTTTGTTATACGTATTAACTCATATTATTATTGAGTATCATAACATATGTATATGATAAGTAAAACTTTGAAAACTTACAAAGATTCGAGTGACTTTAATCCGTGGAAAGCATCGGATGCTACTTTTTGAATTTGATTATTGCTAAGATCGCTAGAAAAATAAAAATGAAACAAATGAAAAAAAATGTTAAACGAATTAAACAATTTATCCAAATATGAATAAACAAATTAATCAAGTATAGTTTTGTACTTACATTCTACGTAATTTTCTATAAGGTGAAAAGGCCTTGGGTGGGATCTCCGTGATACTATTTTGTTCCAATCGTCTGAGAAACAACCAATGAACATTTTAAGAGACGAAGCAACAAACAGCATTAACAAGAGATGCAAAATAAAAATAAATAATAATTTAGTCATTATTCATTTAAACTATCTTTCGTATTATTCTATCTCGATTTCGATTGGTTACCCAGTATTATTAGAATAAAAAAAAAAAAAAGAAAGAAAAAGAAAATAAAGATTTTTCGCACCGTACCAGGTAAATTGACACCACGTCTGGCATCGCACGTTCGTCGAATTCAATTTTTCTATTTTATCCGATAGCGGATGTGTGGCGCAACCGGGAATAGGGGTTTCTCTATATTTTTTTTTCTTTCCTTTTATTTTTTTTTTTTGAAATTTCAAATCAAATTTTTTCTTTCTTTCGTTCCAATTTGTGGAATATAAAACGCATCATCCGTTTGATACTTTATCCACAAAGAAAAAGAAATGTATGGATAAATGGATAAATAGATAGAAGAAAAAAGAATAAGAAAAGATCGATAAAGTGAGACAGAAAACTTTCAGAGATCGTTGTTAACGTTGTTGAGATAGAACGTGTGGTAAAGGTTTTGTTTTTTCTTTTTTTTACTAACAATTCCATGGTGTCTTCGGGAAGATGGGTCGGTACTTTCGTCAAGGAATTCTCTCGGCAATCGACGATTCCGTTTGCGCATTTGCAGGGATGCGGGCATTGCGGTTCCGCACTGCATTCCGGGCCTGCTCGTTCCACTAAGCCAGAACATTTGAACTCGTGTTCCTGCAACCAAAAAAAAAATATTAAAAAAAAAAATAGAAAAAAGATCGCAATGTTTGTGATCAAAAAGAGAAAAAAAAATATCCTCCTTTCCCACAAAAAAAAAATAAAAAAAAGATATGGAGAATACGACACGTTAAGCAGACGTTCCGTTTCACGAGAGAAAACCATTTTGGATTTTAATAAAATAGTAACAAGAATTTACTTATTTTTCGTTAAAGTATTTTTTAATCTTTTAAGATTGTTTTTTAATTTATTCATACCTGTAGATCGATTAAACTTCGTTCCTTCAAATGAGCCGGTGACGAGCAACGTGTGTGTGTTCCAAGACGAGAATACGCTCTCAAATGTCGAGAAAGCCAAGCCAAGTGACAATCGCAAGCAAAAGCATTATCGGCTAACTTTAGGGTCCGTAAATGGGGTAAACCCGAGAACACCTCTTTAGCTAGCGTCGTTAGTTTGTTGTTGTTTAACATTCTGCGAAAAAGAAAACATTATAGTTAACTTTGTTTTATCTTTCAATACTATTTTATCTCAAGTACGAACAAAATAGTTTATATTCGAGTTATAGACATTTTTCTTTTAGGAACTTACAAAATTTCGAGATCCTTCAACTCTCTTATCGAGGATTCGTCGATGCACGTCAGCACGTTGTTATCCAATAAACTGTTGAAATTCAATAACAGAAAAAAAGGGTTATAATATGATCTTGAAAAGTGAGAACGTAGGAGTTACGCGAACGATGCAGAAAGTTAACGGGGAAAGGATGGAATTTCAAATAGAAGGGGATTTGAAACAGTTTAACTATCGAGTTTGTTCGGGGATGCCTGGTTGCTTGCTTGCCTGGTGTTGCACCGCGGAGCATTCAAGCAACTCCTGGACTTCCTGGAGTGAACTAGTTGGACGGTAAACGATGCAGAGTATTACCGAACGTTAATTGAAATCACTCGAGGGACGGTTACACGACTTTTCAATTATACGTTAAGAGAAACGGGAAGAGGAGCTTAGGAACATTGGATGAAGATGAGGAAAGGTAAAAGAAGAAAGAGAGAGAGAGAGAAGAAGAGAATAGGAAATCCTTGGGAAATATATACTTACAGTTGCTTGAGAGCTGATACACCTCTCAACGTCTTAGGTCCTATCGTGGCTATCTGATTGTGACTTAGATCCCTGCAACAAGGAAGATCCAACAATTGTTTCCTTTTAGTCAACGATTCGGAAGGTTCATTTCTCGATTAACGCCAAAATGACCAAATACATATACAGACACACACATACGTATACACAACATCCACATTCTCTTCGTTCCTTTCTCTCTTGGGTAAACTGCAATCATCTAGGAAATCGCAATCTCCTCTTTTTCATGTAACGGAATGTGGTTTCATGATTAATTTCGTTGATACCTACCTTCTCTTGAAGTCAGATATATTCATCGTCTTCCTTATTCAATGATATTGGTACTATCCTTTACTTTTTTTTTTTTTTGACGTCAAGAGAACATCGTAATTATCGTATGACTTTTAGTCAATAACAAGCGCGTTAGTGACATCTTAAAAAAGATTTTAGACGAGTTAAGTCGAAAAGGTAGACGAATCGATTTGCATCGAGTCCTGGGAATTGTAAGGTGAACCGGTAAGAAGCAATTACAAGAGAAGGCACATCCTTTGCTCGTCCATCATTCAGTGATCCCGATACCTCTTCTCTCTCTCTCTCTCTCGCACTTTCTAAAGATGGAGAGAGCCTGTTTCAAAGTCACCACATGGTATCCCACGGTGGTTCGTTCGTTCGAAGCATTAAGAAGAAAAAGAAGAACCGACCTCGTACCTACTACTACGAACTTGCTTCGTTGAATCTTTCTCTTTCTCTTTCTCTTTCTCTCTTTCATACGTCGACCTTTCCAAGTTTTTTTCCCTCGACGGACACACGACCGTAACACGTTGAGTTCCGATGGGTAAAGAACACCGGCTCGTTCCACTTCCGAGCTCAGTTAGTCGCGAGTTCGTCCTACATTTCCGATAAATTATTCAGAGCATCGAATGCTGGCCTAGTAGTCGCGCGACTTCCACTATCGTGGTGTTTCTACTTCCTTCTTTTTCTTACTCTTTCTATCTCTCTTCCTATTTCTTTGAAAAAGGTCTAGTTAGTTTTAAAAGTAAAAAACTTCTATTTAATTTCTTTCCACACGTCAAAAGTTTTCACTTCTTAGGATAATCCTTAAACTAATCTAACTATTGATTTATTAAATTACTAAGAATAATATTTGATATTAAATGAAAAACAAAAAAAAAAATTAAGTACACGATTATCATTTAGTTATGGTATTTCTTCGAAGAGGAAATCCGCTTAGGTACCTAAAGGCGTAACGAAACGTTTGAAGACGATAAAAGATGGGTGAAGAAGGAGAGAACGTAATCACGATAAGAAGAGAACAAGAAGGGTTAAAATGGTTTGCCGCGAGGACGGATGTACGAAGGAGTTAAAGTTACCACTAATGAACTTGGTCTACGTACATGCAAAAGCTCACTTCTCTTCTATTGCTAGTTCTTCTTCTAGTGGTCGGTTATAGACTCGACTTTCGTCGTCGTCATCATCCTCTATCGTCGTATTCCTTGTACTTGTACTTGTGTGTTTGTTAGTTTTCTTTATAGGTGTACATACAAACACATATATACACATTTACGTTATGTATAAGAACGAATGAGTTTTTCATTCTCAACCACTTGGAAGCTTTTTCACGGGTGGCCGGCTTCACGAATTGCCCGAGTCCGTTTTCAAATGAACGGGAGCTTTCAGATAGTATCTCTCTCGGAAGGTTGTTAAGCATCTTTTATCCGCGAGAAATACGAGGGTTACCTTGCAAGTGAATGCTAGGATAGAGTCAGCATCCCTAATGGTTCATTTCTTCGTTAAACTTTATTCGTCGGTTACCTATTTTTTTTCTTCTTTTTTTTTTTCGTTCTTGTCAAGCTTTTGATTACTCACCATCGTCGCATTATTTTTCTCATCAATTCAGAATTCTAATCATACTTTCTTTTCATAACAATTTAACAATATTCGACTATGGGATTTATAATCCCAGTTATCGAGAAATCGATGTTTAACCGCAAGCTTACAATGAAGATTAATCTACCCTAAACTTTCACCAAGAATACGGATGAATCATTCTGTAAGAAGAAGAGCGCGAATAGCAGCTCGTTTAACAAAACGAGTAAGGAAGAGTAGAGTATTTTTTAAAGCTCATCGCGGAATCGAATATCTTCGGGCAAGTCTCGAACGCTGTTAAACCAACTCTCTTTCTCTTTCTCCTGGGAGTGCAAAAAAAAGAAACAAGAGAGAAAGAAAGAGAGAGAGAGAAAGCTTCGAGAGAATCTCTTCTCGAGGCACGAGTTAAGCAGACATTTGTGATGATAGGTTAGGGGTCTTGGAGCACGGTTCAGCATTGACCATCCATTGGCTCGGGGAACTCGCAATCTGTAATTATGCTTGCCACAGACCACGAGAATGGTTCAGAAAAAGACAGATAGACAGACAGACAGATAGACAGAAAGAGAAGAAGAGAGAAATAAAAGATGAGAAGGGACGCTTGAGAATAGAAAGAAAGAAAGACAGAGAGAGAGATAGAGAGATAGAAAGGAAGAAAACAAGAAACAAAGAGAGAGAGAGAGAGGAATGTTATGAGTTGGACAACGCTAACATAAGGCAAGTCTGAGAGAGATTGAACTTCCAGTTCGCGAACCGAGCCAATCCAGAAAGCAATTACCGAATTTCGACGTGGCCGCGCGCCTCCTACCGTTTACCACTCACAAAGGACCTTCTGGACCGTCTCATCTCTAACGAAAGACGAGTACGAGACTAGGTTTCTCTCTCTTTCTCTTTACAACTTCAATTTCAAATGGTCTTGCCAAACTGGCTGCTGCTCCCACAGCGTTTGCCACCTCCATTGGTACTCACTGGACTAGGGCGATAAGCACAGGATAAAACGAATCACGAAGAGAACGCGAAATGCGAGAGATCCGGATTCTCAACGCGACGCTTGTTTCTCCTTTAAGCTTACCACCCTCTTCTATTTCTACCCTACTACTACTACTACTACTACTACTACTACTACTACCCATATAAGTTCACCTCTCCATCACCCAAATCTGTGTACTATTTTATTTCTTTCCTTTTTCTTCTTCTGTTTTTCTTCTTTCGCTCTTTTCATGGGATCGATCTTTCCTTTTTTAAAGACGTTCGAAATGAAAGAGAAAAAGATAAAAAGGCAAGGAAAATGAGAAGTTCCAGTCGTGCGTACTTCGATATTTAGACTTCTAACTTTTGCTCTTCTTTTTGCATTGGAAGAATAAACGAACAGAGAGAGAGAGAGAGAGAGAGAGAGAAATTCAACGGTGTAGAAGAAAGCACAGAATATACTTGAAAGATGGTAGTAGTACGGGGCAAAGAGAAATACACGCTTGGCTTCTCGTTATCGGAGAGAAATGAAGAAAGATGATGAAAAAAAGAAAAAAGAAAAGCATAGATGAACGAATAGAAGACTTGGACTTTTGGTGGAATTCAAGAGACTCTTATCTTGCGTAGAGTCAGGTGAAAATATGAAAGAGAAACAAAGAGAGAGAGAGAGAGAGAGAGAGAGAGAGAAAGAAATAGTCAGAGAGTGACACGATGGGATTTGTTGGCTTCATGGGTGGTAGAAAAATTTGAGAAACGTCCCCACGATACGATATCGAGAGCATTAAGCGCGAAGGACAGCTCTTATCGGCGACGTTCGACGAACGTGAAATATCGCGGCTCGTTTGATGCCAAGCTTACACGAAGTGTATGTGTGTTTGTCTGCTACGCGTATGTACGAAACACGAGTCGTGTTTTTAGATAACAAGAATGACGTGATATCCCTCTCTCTACCCTTTCCCACAGATACTCGTAAAAATAAAACGCTTTTTTTCTGCCTTTCCCAATCTCTTTTTCTTTTTCAATCTCTTCAAAGTGTTCAAGGATTGTTGTATCTTCCCCCTTTCTGTCTGTTCTTAAAATCAACCGATTGAAAGAGACGACTTTGTTCAACAAATATCGACGAATGTCGCGACTGGTATTATTATTATTATTATTATTGAAAATTGTTTTAAATTCTTATCAGTTAGATTTTCGTATATGAAAATTGAGAAATAAATTTTTTTATTATTTTATTTGTAATTAAAAATATTGCAAACTGTGCACAATAAGAAAGATAATTGTTTTAATTGGATTGCTTTATGAATTAACCAAATCTAATGTCAGTTTGTTTAATTCTTCATTGTCCACTTTTTTACGTTTTCATTTATCATTGCGATACAAAGGAAATGTTTGGTACATTAATGAATTTTTAATTTATACGAACTAATATTAGTACGATGAATTGTTTAGATGATAGTACACGTATTTCTTCGAGAGAGTTGACAGTCGCAATAATTCAATTTTGTAAAACCCTGACACTGTTGGTGTTTGTATATGTCATAAATTGAAATTAATTGTCGGAAATAATTTGTAATCTATAATCTACTTTTACGTTGTAAATTTTTCAAGTTTAATTTTTGATATACAACGGTGCCACGTGAATTATTTGCAATCCCCCTTTTTCTCGAATCATCCTTTAAATTACCCTTTACGAATGAAACGCGGATAAAGGAAGGAAATGTTATTACCTCGTAAATACGAGCTTGTATATTCTCATTGGTCCTCCTCATCCACCTCCTCCTCTTTCTATCGCGTTTGTAGCGACGAGAGAGCGAGTGATACTAATCGGAGGAGGCGCGTCCACGGCCCTTCCCCCATTGTGTCAAACCATTTATTACCTCTTCTCCGAGTAGGTACTCTACGGTCTCTTCTTTACAATCTTCGAATAACTTTCTCCGTTTGCGTTGCGATGGGTTAATCATACGTTTCGTTTCTTCTCGTCATACGACCCACGCGCTCTCCTTTCTTAAACTCGTGCGAAATTTATTTTCGATTCAACTCGGCAAAATTAAATTACGAATCTAACGATCAAAAAGATCGGATAATACTAATTCATAAAAGACCATTCAATTTTATCCCTTCACTATCTACTACTTTTTCTCTCTTGGAAAAAAAAAAAGAAATAAAACAATATCAAGGTCAATCTTTCGAAAAAAAATCTTAATAATCCACGATGTTATAAACGATAAAATCGAAGGAGGGTAAAACAAAAATCACGAAAATGACTAGAAGAGTAAGGTATTCCCCGTTGGTATTCGATTTTATATTCGAGGGAAAAAGGGAACAACTAGAAAGGGAGATGGATGTGTACCGTCGACTTTAGCTGCTTATCCACCAGCAGATGAGAGATTATCGGGGCCATCCTGTACGGCCGTGAGAACTCGCCGTAAGGTCGCAACGTGATACGTTCTTTTGTAAGGTGCCTGATCCGGTCTTATCGTCGGAAACTGTGGAGTTCCGTTTAAGAAAGAAGAAGAAAGAAAGAAAGAAAGAAAGTAAGAAAGAGAAAAAGAAAAAAGAAAAAGAAAAAGACCGAGACGGTAAGTTTCGAGACCCGTCCGTCTTGGCCACTTTGCGAGATGATAGATGGACCACCAAGTTCACCTTCCTTCTCTTTTCTTCCCTCTTACTTCTCATGTCCAACGGTCATCTTCTTTTTTCTCTGCTCCTTCATCATCTTCTTCACCTTTCTACCTACTCTAGCTAGCTCGTGCCGTTCCCCTTCGATTCTCTCTTTCACTCTCTCTGTCTTTCTATCCTCGTTTAAGAAGAAAAGGGGGCCACCACAAACTCGTGTGCTTTTTCGACTTCTCAAGTGGCAGCTCGTAGGGATTCGAGAACTGTACCTGCGGAAACGATCTCGATAAAGTCCCGATCCTCTTCGGTTGACCGCTTCGTATTTTTCCTTCGTATGTGTATGTGTATGTATCTCTCTTTCTTTATCTCTTTTTTTTAGTTCGAGAACGGTCAGTAGCGGAGATCGATTAAGATTCAGGTTCGAAAAGTATGCGGCCCATGGTGGTGGTGGTTTATTCTACGAGAGAAAAGCACCTAGATGAGAGAGAAGGAAGTAAAAAAAAAAAAAAAAGAAAAACAAGGGAGAGAGAGAGAAAGAAAATGTAAGGTAGACTGGCATCGGTGTAATCGGAAGATCGGTATTTTTTTTTTTCTCTTCCGCGCTCGTTTCTCTCGCGTTTAGATAGGAGAAATGCGGCCCACGTGTTATGCGAGCGAGCTTCCTGCCTTCTGACTTACGCTCAACCGAGTGAAAATGGAAAAAGAAATAAGTTGAAGAAGTCGGGTTGCCTCCTCTTCCTCCTCCTACTCCTCTTGGTTGCATCCAACCATCTCTCCGAATGATCTCATTTTATTTCATTTTCTATAGAGTAGTAGTAGTAGTAGTAGTAGTAGTAGTAGTAGTCGTCTTCGTCGTCGTCGTCGTTCTACCAGAAGTTGTTCGAAACTCTCCAAAGGATTTCATTAATATCACAGGCTGCATTGCGTGTTCATTCCGATAACAAGGAAACTCCACGTGTTACCTGATTAACGAGCTCCTTTGCAATATATGAATGAAATATGTTACTGGTTAATGTGTTTGCTATAACGAGAGACGATGACAATAAACTATCTCTTGAAAATTCAACACAGCTTATCTCTTTCGTAGTTGTATTTCCTTCAAACTCGTTCTTATCGCGTACCAATTTATAGAATTGGATTATTAATTAAATCAATTTAATAAGCTGACTTATCTCAGTGTTTTTTTACTGTTACAATAATTGTTTTTATTTTCATTTTTATTTTTATTTTCAAAGAAACATTTTCTTTTATTATTTTTTACATCTTTATAATATACATTCAATAAGATAATACTTTAATGAATAAGATTAATTAAAATAAATTAAAAGATCGTTGATGTAAAAAAGAAGAAAGGGAGAAAGAACGTGTAGAAAACAAAAAAGTATTAAGGGATTAAAGCCGTTGAACTAGGGAGATCGGCTTTAAAGAATTAAACATGGAAAAGGGGAAAAAGTCGCTAGTCTCATACGTACATATATACACGCATACGTACTGTACTGTCTCTCTATGCCGTATGCAATTCGATCGAAAGGGGAGTTTGCAAGTTACAACTAACTCAAGCTTTAGCAACGAGTGAAAGAATGTAGGCCGTGGATCGTCTGTAAAGTTTACGCGCCTGAGTCTGCGCGTTGGCAAAAAGAGTGAAGGAACGTGCTTGACAAAAGCAATGTGGATTATAAAACGAGAGCGTAATAATAATAAAAAGGAAGACAAAAAAATAATGTGGAGGGTGGAAAAAAAGGAAAGAGAGAGAGAGAGAGAGAGAGAGAGAGAGAGAAGGAGAAAGAGAAAGAGCATGAACGATCTCTCGCATATAATAATTATTCTCCCGAGACTATTTTTTTTTTCCCACGCTGATTCCTTTGTTCCTCATGTTTGGCAAAAGTTCTCTCATGGGAGAAGCTTTTTTTCGAAAAAGCTTACTTCCTTCATCAACCCTTCTTTTTGTTTTCTCTTCGTCGTTCGTTCGTCTGCCGGTTTTTCATCGGTTCCATCGAAAAGTCTCAACACTTTTTTATCGTTTTTGGTTTTTCTTATTTTCTACGTTATTTGATTTTTCTTCTTCTTCTCTGATCTTTTACGATTTTCTACAAAGGTCTGTTTTTTTCTTTTTTTTTTTTCAAATTATTCTTCGTTATCGTTATTATTATCATCTATTATTCGCAAATTATTATTATTATTATTATTATTATTATTGTTGTCATCATCGTCTTGATTATATTATTATCAAAAAAGCTTTTATGAAAAAAGTTATTAAATTACGGAAAAAAATTCTATTTTCTCGTATACCTGTCACGAGAATAAGTTGATAGAACGGTAAAAAATTTCACCTTATTCCTTTTAAAACTGAATACGCCAAAAGATTAAGATGATAATAAAATTTGATGCGATGGTACTTACAGCCGCTTAAGGTTCATCATATTACTGAAGAGAAGATCCGGTAGATGACGAATTTGATTGTTATTGAGCCGCAGTTTTTCCACGCCGACCAGATCTTGAAAAGCCCCTCTTTGAATAGTATGGATTTGATTATTCGATAATAACCTGTCGACACGAAAAAAAGAACAAGATAAATCATCGAAGAATATATAATAATAAAATGCTTTAAACGAAGATTAGTCAATGTCGTTTTATATAATATCACTTAGAAAAATTCTTCGATAATATTTCATGCGAATGATAAAATTATTTTATTTAATCCGTTAGTAAATTTTTGTACAATTTCGTAAATGTACCCAAAGATAATCGGATCGTATTTTTTGAAATGAAACTCACGGAAGAGGATCGACGTTATGCAAGTAATTCTTCCGGCACCCACCCCCACACACCCCTTCTAATTCCCGTTTATGAAGCCGCACAAATGCATTGCCATCATCGCGGTCGTTAGCAAACTCCGTAATACATGCTCGAGGAAGTTCTCGACACTGAATATTCATAGTACTGCGGTTTCGTGGCGAGAGGTGAGCCGACTTAACTTTTATCTCTCACTCACTCTCTCTCACTCTCTTTATTTTTTTATTACACACTCTCCTCTCGCCTTTAAAACTTCATCACGGTGATAACGTAAAGAATGCCTATGTGAAGGTATTACTTACAAAACGTGAAGCGTTGCCATGTCCTCGAAGTCCGTTTTAAATATAACCGAAATATTATTCCCTTGAAGATCTCTGTAACAAATAAAGAAAAAAGAAAAATTAATATTTGTTCACGAAATTATTTGAGTTTCATTTAAATGTATTAGAAATTATCAGGTTAACGGAATGGTTAGTTCGTTCCCCTTTAATTTAGCAAAAGGTAGAACTAACCTATCCCAAAGAGACTTGTGTCGCCATAGTATGTTTCGGGAATTTATATGGGTCAGTAGATACCCATATACGGGCGATACAGGTCTTCTTTTTTTTTTCTTACGGCAAGGTTAACATCTTTGAGGTTTATCCCAAGAATTTCTATAGGTTCCACAGATTGGTATCGGAAAAAGGGGGATCAAAGAAGATAGGGGTTGTTGAACTACTGCCAGTGTTTATTCCACAAAAATTCGACGATCTTTTTTTTAAATGATCTCACTTATTTCTGAATAAAAATTAAACTAAAAAAAAAAAAAAAATAAAGAAAGAAAATAAACATACCTAATCATTTTACTTGAATTATTTCTAAAGTTTACTTAAATTATCTCTATAATAAAATTCTGTTTTTAGCACAGTTATTTGTAACCCGAAAATCTTCGATTAGAATTTTCAAGGAACAAGTTTTCGAGTTTTTAGATTTCTTTTTTTTTTGATAAATAAATAAAAATGAAGGGTCAGTGAAAAAGGGAAAGTTATTACAAAGGGGTTAGTTACATGGTACTACTACTACTACTACTACTACTACTTGGTAAGCGCAAATTTACTCGTCATTGTCGTCGCCGTCGTCATTGGAAAAGGTAAAGAGGAAGCTAAAGGAGCAGAAAAGATGAAGAAAAGAAGAAAGAAAAAGAAGTGGGCGAGTTGGGAGGGAGTAGTTATAGAGAAAGAAAAAGAAGAAGAAGAAAAAGAAGAGTAGGAGGAGGAGGAGGAAAAAGACGAGAGGAGTAGCCGTCAAACACAGCCGTATACCAGCCGTCTGCTCTCTCAGAAGTTATTAAGGCCTTATTAAATTGGTTCCTTTTCCAACCCCCTTCCAACTTTACTAGCAGCACCACCACCACTAAAACTACCACCATCTCCACCTTCAGCTCCACCTCCAACCAACCGGTCGTTCGGTCCTCTTACAGTGAAACTTTTTACCTGACAAAAAGGCCGACGAGTAAGAGCGAGTAACGAGGTCGGCCTATCTACCCCAAGAGCTTTTCTACATCGGTGAGGATTTTTCCTTCCGTCCTGGACGAGACTACGACGACGACGACGACGAGAACGAAGAGAAGACTAGCAAAAATTATTCCCTCGTTTTCATCTCTACCGTCTACGAGCTTCTTTTTTTCTATTAATAACGCAAAAACCCATCTTTCTTTCTTTCTTCTTCTCTTTTTCTCTTTCTCTCTGGTTTTTATATTTTTTTAGTTAAAAAAAAAAAAAAAAGAAATTGTTTCCCTCTATCTTTCATAAAGATTAGGTTATTATAACCTTGTTATGATATTCATTTTTATACGATTTCAGTTTCGTACATTAAATCATATTTATTGAATGATTTTAATTGAAATATTCCATGTACAAATTTCCCGAAATAGAATGAAATACATAGGGGATCATCGGTAAAGGTTTATGCCATCGAATAAGGACAGTAATGGGGGCTGCTTTAGAGTCGGGTCTAGTACAATTAATATGCATTTCCAATTGGCACGCGTTCGGGCAAATCGTTCCGTTTATGACGAGCATTATGGCGAATTCAATGGTGATGAATCAATCATCGAATTTTGGAAAATCCATGAACAATTTATAAATGGCATAATATATCTCTTATTAAAAATATCTCTATAAAATAAATTAACCGATTGTACGTTGATCTATTTTCAAGAATAACACAATGACAATCAAATTCAATGCGATAATATTAAGTGACAACAACAAAAAAAAAAAAAAGAAAAATAAAACACTTTGATCAATTTGATTTTAAAAAGAAAATCAACGAAGCGTTTGCGATTAAAAGAGGCACAAAAACCGTGATAAAATTAACGGTCCAATAAATATCCAAATGGCCATATTCGGTTTACCAGAGAACGGATTATTACGCCCTGCTATATAATCCTGATGGTAGTCGACGAGAGAATTAAAACGTAAGAGAAAGAGAGAGAGAGAGAGAGAGAGAGAGAGTGAGAGAGCATAATACAGAAGGGTGGGCGACGTTGGTATCTAATTATCAATTATTATACCTTAAAGAAGCTCAGAGCAACGAGCGTCGCCGATCGCATTATAGAATCGAGGTTCATTGAGTATCTCCCCTCCTTTTACCTCTTCTACTCTTCGTAGCGCGTAATCCACTTTATCGCTCGATTCGATTAATTCTCGACGAGGTAAAATGATCGCGGCTGGCAGGAAAGCTAACGAAGGCACATCGTGGGTCCATCGAGGATGTCTACCGCGTCTCTTCGAGGCCATTCTTCCCTTAAACCCATAACCACCCTTCCCCGATTCTCATCCTTATTCACCTCTTCTTCGTTTCTGTCATCGTACACTTCGTAAGAATCGTGCCTATTGTAAAGCTTTCGAAAGCTCAATCGACTAACTTAACCTTTTAGGTACTACGTGTCATTATAGTGGCTTTCGTGGATAATATCTTCTAAAATATATTATACTTAATTTTATTATTAATTAAGTTAATTGTTTAAGTAAAGTATATATGTGTGTATATCATTTTTATAAGAAAAATTATAATTTAATCATCAAAAACTTTATTTCAATGTACTCGCGTAGAGAACAGCCATTATTCGTCACACATCGTAGTTTTATCGTTGACACGTAATTTTTATTGAACCCTGCTGTACAGAGAAAGAGCCCCGCACACAATTCAGGAGTCCCTAAGAAGTAAAAACGAAAAAGGTAATAAGAGAATAAAAAGGTAGAACTTCCTTTTCGTTTAGTTCATACGACAAATTTGTACTTCCATGAACTTTAATGCGGCTTTTCCTGATGGTGGTGGTGATGGTGGTGGTCCTTAGCCATCATCTCGTACTGGTGTTACGCTCAATTAAAATAACTCGACACCTTCTTGGAATATGATAATGGTGATAGCACGTGTTATCGCATATCACGGTATGAATTTCTTTGCTCGTCCTATGCCGCATTGAAACTCCTTTTTAAAGAGACTTCAAAAGAGATTTAGAGAAAGTGAATAAGAGTGTGTGAGAGAGAGAGAGAAAAAAATATTGGAGTGGGTCGTAATTCTTTGAAGAAGACGTTTTAAGAGAAACGTTACGGATTAACTATGATTAGTCTGCTAACGAAATACGAAGTACTTGCGAAGAAGAAAAGATGAGAGTGAGTGAGTGAGTGAGTGAGTGAATGAGTGAGTGAGAGAGTGAGAGATAGTGCATGCAAGTACCTTACCTCATGAAAATTTATTACATCATAAGGAAGGTATAAATATTTGTGGTATGAATTATGTCCCTTGTGAGAGAAAATGAGAGAGTAAGAGAGTGAGAGAGAGATGAGTTTTGAATTAGTGGTATATAAGAAAGTTAAGAAATGTTTTTACTCGTCACATTTCTGTGGATCTTAGACAGAAATATGATATAAATATTGTCGAGCGATTAAATTCGTTGACGCTGTTACGATATCAAGAGAGAGAGAGAGAGAGAGAGAGAGAGAGAGAGAGAGTATTTGACTGTACGAAGATCGATGTACCGGTAGGGTAGATAAATCGAAAGGAGTTACTTCTTAAACGAAACGATCGATCGTTTATAATCGTTTCATGTCGATGGAGATAAATGAATTTACGATATATATCTCTCTCTCCGAGTTATAGTAGAATAATTTAAAAAAGAAAGATCTTGACGTATACGTTGTGGTAAGTGTTACAAACAAGTTGAGTTCGAATAAATTCAAAAACAGAAATGTAATAATAAACAACTGAATAGGATAGAAAATCTGAAATGTTTTCAAGTGATGTCACGTTTCGATAGAACATGAATATTTGCTTTCGTAAGAAAATATTCTTATACTCGATCAATATCCTTTCACTTTGAACGCAATTTAAAAACTAATGGTAAGATCAAAAGTATATGTAATAAATAACTATATTTTATATCTCACACACAGTTTATAATATATGAGTGAATTCTATACTAGATAAGAACTAAGAAAATATATGTAAGGTTGACACGCGATATTATCCTAGGATTTCGGTACAACGGGGGTATTTCATCATAAAGATAGTAATCTCGTGGCGAAGGTCACGACAGAAAATTCCTTAGTATTTTATTAACCGTTTGGCCTACTAAATAATTCGACACGGCAACTTAAAAGCGACCGATGATTGCTGGCTGCTGTGGTGGTGGTTTCCGAAGAAGAAACATGAGACTTACGATGAGGATGAAAGAGAAAATACTAAAAAAGAAAAGAGTCAAACTAGAAACGTGGAAAGAAAAATTTTCCATTTTTTTTCTATTTTTTTTTTTTTTTAAAGCTATCTTGAATCTGTTCTAAGGATGGATAGCTAGCAATTCGTTTTCTAGTTTCTAGCGTCGACGATCAATGGCTATAATGACGTCCATCGGAAATCCAATCGTGCCTAGACTTTCAGGAAGAAATGAAGAAAGAAAGAAAGAAAAAAAAGTAGAATGAAAGGAGGGAAGGAAAGGAAGGAAAGGAAGGAAAGGAAAGGAAAGGAAAGGAAGGAAGGAAGGAAGGTAGGAACGTCGTAGTCTTTCTCATTCTCGTCATCCTGTACTTTTGACAAGCGACTCACGTACCGGCTAACAAAATTACTTTTCGCGTCGTCGGGATGTTCGTTAAATACATTTCCATGGGTTTTCACGAGCGAAAACGTTGGAGAAAGCAGGGAAGGTAGAAAATCTAGTAGGAAGGTCTAAACCCTGTCTGTCTACCGGAAGAGATGGCTGCTTCTGCTGCTACTGCTGTTACTCAAGATATTCGATAGATGAGAGTATACGAAAGGATAGGTAAAATCATGTAGGAGATGAATGTTGTAAGGAATATTTGATAGGATAAGTCCTTACTGACGACTTGTACTG